TTCTTTTCCAGCGCCCCGCACTGGATATGCTCCGTATGGCTCGAGTGCTCCCATTAGACCCTGTCTACCCTTCCCACCTCTTGGGCACTGAGAGCATTGCGGATGAACAAGAGCATCAGGTACCTGGCGAGCATTTCACAACCCTAAACCCCAGAACGCTAAACCCAAATCTCTAAGCCCTAAACCATGTGATAGCCCTACTTCCCGCCAACTCAGGCAGCACCTTCTGATGAGAGCCGCTTGTGGCATCCACCATGGGGATGTAGAGGCCATAGGTTTAGGGTTCAGGGTTTAGTTTAGGGTTTAGGGGTCTTGGGTTCCTTTGACGAGCCCACGCAGGCGCTTTATGGGATTGCTGGAGGCTGTGGTTGTCCCTGCATACCGCATCGTACGTACCCTCGTATGTTTCCAGGAGTAGTTATGATCCCCCTATGCCCTAAACCCTGAACTGTTCAAGGGCTTCTATAGGGTTCCAACTTTACAAAACGGAGGCGGGAGGTGGGAGGTGGGGCCTTGTCCGAAACAGGGGTTTCTTACATGATCTTATATGGGTTTCCTTGAACAGGGGGACCCCAAGAACCCCAGTATACTATAGCCGTTATTATGGGGACCCCAAAATGGGACCACAAAATTCCGAAACCCCTGCCCCGCCCCAGAAAACAAAATCAACGTACTTGTTATCGTTCTTTAAAGGGTTCAGGGATCCGTACTTGTATCAAATTCATGTCCGGCACACCTTAGCCCACGCAAGGTCATGTTTCAGGATAATAGCTACATTTCGTACTCCCCTGAAGCTACTTAACAGCCCAGATCTCCAAATGTTTCCTGTCGTTTGTTTACGTTTGGGGCTTAGGGTCTTCCTTCAGAAGTTCTAGGCGACAAATCCTTGGCCGCCTATTCCGCCTGCGAAGTTGGAACGGTAGCCATTTAAAGTTCACATACAGCAGGCCATTCAGCGGAGAGCAATCCCGGCAAAACTCTTGGAATGCCTAGGTTGGAGAAGCTTGCAGCGTATCAGAGAGGGTTTAGGGTTTAGGGGTGAAGATGAACACATCCCCTTGCACCAAGACCCGCACGAAGCTTACCGCGTACAGTATGTTCTCAAAATCATGGAATCCTTCTTCACCTCCAACACAACAGAACCTCCATGCGCGAGGGACCTCCATTGCTGGCCCACCATTTCACAAATCTCTAACTCCCTTGAAATGTCCAAGCTTTATAAGTACACCCTCAAATCCGAAACCGTGTGGCTAGTAAAGGCCGCGCTGGAGACCTACGACCTCATGTCCAGAAAGTTCTTCACGCACCAGGGCGGAAGGAGTGATTCTTAAGTCTCCAATGTCCACAGACTACGAATTCCTTGCTGGTTCTCAGTAGGGAATACGGGAGTATATCACGTAGGGCTTATGCATGGATTTTATTCCCTTATTCCCTACTAAGAACCGGTAAGATTTAGAAACTACTGCTGTAAGTAGTCATCTCCCCCCAATGATGAACCCTCCTCACCTCCCTACTAGTACATGCTCCCCCAATACATAATTCATGGTGTCATATTGGGAATAATCCATAAGAAAAGCTAGATTAAGGTTAGTTGTAGACAGCTCCCTGCAAAGGACTAACGCTTCCCTTACAGTTGAATCTACCCGAACTCCTGCCCAGAAAGCCAAGCCCCAATGCACCATGCTTCCTAATCCTGAAAATTGCCCAGATGACGACGAGCATTTCCTCCGCCAAAAATTCAAGCGGGCAGCCTAGGAACAATTGAGCTGTAGTGTAAACTCCTTAGAAGGGCGAAATAGGGTATAATATAGGGGTCTACCATACGGGTTATTACGGGGGACTATAGCTCAATTATGGTTTTCTAAGGCACGCGTCTCCCACGCTCTTCAACGCCGGCACGCCGAATCCGCAGATGTCTTCCTGCTTCCTCCTGAAAATGAAGGATGACAGCATTGACGGTTTCTTGACCTGAACCCTAAAGCCTACACCCCGAACCCTCAACCCTAAACGCTGATTTCATTTTCCATTTTACAGCCTGAACAGTTGTTTCCATTTCATGTGCCATTCTCTTGTCCATTTGATTCTCCACTATTGGGGCTCAATGGGAAAGATGGGTTCAATGGAAAGTTGGGCCCCAAACCTTTAACAAACCCTTTGAGCAAGCAAAGCGGCTGAGTGTTGGGAAGTCCTGTGCCAGCCACTTGTCAAAGAAGGGCGACTTGCTTGTAAGGAACCTCTAACATGATCCTCATAAGCGGGCTACATAAAATCCTCCTAAACACAATTATAGAAGATTCCATGTCCTTTCCCACTGTTCCCTGTAGAGCCCCTATAAGCCCCTATATAATCCTATAAACCCTATAAACCCTTATATAATCCTATACACCCCTATAAACCCTTATATAATCCTCATGGAATTTCTGTAGAGCAAGTGAGATGCTTGCAGTATCTTTCCTTGGAAGGGGTATTATAATACAAGGTTATATTGGGATAATGGAAAAGAAAATGGAAACTACTATTTAGGTTTAGGGTTTAGGTCTAGGGGGTTATATTGGGATAATGGAAAAAATTGGAAACTACTATCATTTAAGGGTTTAGAGGAGAAGCCCCAAACAAAGGAAAATGGCTTGCGGAATGTAGATATAGCCCCCCTTAGGTAGATAGAATCTGGCTTTGGTTCTATCTACTTAAGGGAGACACTACATCCAAATCCACTTCGATATCTAGTACCTTCTCTTCGCAAGTGTTCCGGAAGCCAGCCCAAAAATGCCAAGACATCAAATGGAGATAAGCGCAGGATCACTTAGGAGGACCCCCCACCCTGTAATAGTGGTATAATAGGAATATAAGAGGACCCCAATATAATCCTTATTATCCATAATAGCCACTATTACTGGGTGGGGGGTCCACCTAAAGGATCACAGTCATTGTGGGGTGTCATAATGGCATCTGCTTGCAGAAAGCCTCAACGAGAGAACATCAGCGCCCCCATGTTTCATGGCACCTGCATCGCATGGTGTCTGAGAATTTCCACAGCCGAGGAATCTATGACACACTGCAGCTCGGCTCAAACATCATACCTAGTAATAGTAATAATAGTAATCGTAATAGTAATAGTAGTAGTAATAATATTAATAATAGTAATAGTAATGTGCTGGACACCCCCCAAACTAACATGGAACGGCATTTGCAAAAACAGCGCTCTTTGTAGTGTCTATTTAAGATCCCGTGCTAGTTTGGGGCGCAAAGAAGGTTTGACTGAGGAGTCGTCAGGCTTGCCATTGCTAGTATTGGCCCACTTATTGGAGTACCTGGGCGTGGGTGGCAGGACTTAATCTTGCAGGGAAGCTGAAACGGAGGGATGATCACTCGCTACAGCCATCACTGTTGAGGTTTGGGTGTTGAGAAGTCAGGAGATTTATGGAGAATGAAAATGAGGCATTGCAGTGTGCGATCTCTGTGTCCTCTGTATTCCGTCTAGTCGTGGCAACAGATGAACACCACCCTACCTGCCGCATTGCATGCCCCTCGTCGAATACGAAACTGGACATGGAAATCTTGAAGTACCGCCCAGCAAAATGCTCTACATGTTTACTTGAGCAACTAGTGATTACCAAGCATAAGGAGACCGCCATCCCTCAGCACTAGACCATAAAACTTTATGCTGCAAAAAACCAAAATACAAGGTCATAGTAATGATGAAAATAATGGCAACAAGGATAGTTGCAGCATCAATAATTTTTAAGCCCACGAGACAGCCACCCCAAGACTGACCACCTTTGACAAATCCCTAGGGATCCAAGTCTGCAAATAATATCTACATTGGCCCCAAAACCTGCAAGTACTACCTATATTGGGCTATTTGGATCCCTATACACCCCTCTAAATTCCTAGCTTCCATTTCATTATCCAATTGCTTATCGATTTGATTCTCCTTTGTTAGGGTAGTACATTAGGCTCTTTGGATACCTAGGGATTTGACTCAAAGTAGCTGAGGCTTGCCTGGCCAGACTTCGAATTGTTTATGGCCTCCTCAATTTAGAAATGGTCGTTTCCATAAATAGGGCAATCCCAATATAGACCCCAAAATACTGTAATCCTTTTGAATGATAGGGATTCCCAAAGAGGTACCCCTAATTTTGGGAAACCCCCAAATACAGAAACAGAAAACTACCGCAACGTGCGCCTAGGGGTACCTGATGCTATAATAGTAATAGCAAGGGTAATAGGAACAGGAGCAGTAATAATCATGGTAATCATAATCGTAATATTAATAAAGGGGGTTAATGATGGCACATTGGAAGCGGACAAACAGGTCTCTGCAACAGTGCGCCTTCCAAGAAAATCTCACGTCTTACGATTTGTCTCAGATATGGAACAGCATGGGTCGAGGGGTTCCAAGTTCGTGCAACTCTTGCGTAGACATAGCGCCCTCCAAGCAGCAGGGTAGACCCAAGAAGGCCAAACCCAAACTTGAAACACTAAACCACACATCCCCAGACCCAAAGCCACCAAGCCCCTGTACCCGGAGTCCCAAAGTTCATCCCTCAGCTGAAGCCCCTTAAGCTTACCCACAATACCTCGGAGGTTTCCCAACATTAGGGGTACTTTATTGGGCCCCTAAAATAAGGACTGTAGTATCTTTGGTCCCCCTATTCAGGGAAACTGCCGCCTGGAGAGCCCACCCCGTGGTGCTCAGGAAGAATTGTGCCCTCATCTCCAAATCCGCAGGGGGCATCGGAGTTGCCATTTCCAACGTGCGTGCACGTGGCTTCCTGACTGGCTGCAGGATGAGAGTGTAGTTTTTCTATCACCACTTAGGGTTCACGTGGGCTCGTGCAGGGCGCCTACAGCCCTCTTCTGAAGTTGAGGCATTAGCTTGGATGAATGCGGCTTGAGCACGTCCTAAGAGAGCCTTTGACCATGTTGTTTGTAATGTTGTTCAAAAGCCCCCCCGCCCCCTCATCGTCTTCCGACGGTTTCAGACCCCTAAGCTATCGTGTTCATTTTTCTTGGCTTCCAAAGTGACCCAACGTATGCTGACCATGAAAGCCAGGACATTCAGCAGGGATTCACTGGCAACCGTAATCTTAAGTACGCATGTGGATTCAACGGGATGTGGTATGGGATTTGAGGAAGGCTCTAGGCGGCATGCAAGATCTTGGTAGAGCGCCCTATGCTCAGGCTCCTATATCCGAGGGACCAACGGCTACAGCAACGGTCTCGTGCCCCTGCTCAAGTGCCTTGCGGGCAGCATAAGGTACACATGATGTCTTAGAATAGCGTCACAGCAATGGTACTGGAGGTTAAGCGACGGGTGTAGGGACTGGAGTTGGAACAAGGCCCGGAATTGACGCTTCAGGCTTTCAGTGTTCGGTTTACAAATGCTATGTACCTGATCCGCAAGGAAACGGACATGAGGTGACCTCATATGTCAGAATTGGCAGTTGGATCTGGACTGCATCCCTGCATCTCCCTGCATCTTCGGACACTAAACCGGAAGCTATTGAAGCCCACACCATCAACCCTCCGATCTACCGATCCTAATGCGAAATATGTGTTGTCAGTTTCTCGCGTTTGAAGCACCATCCCATCCTCGCATACTCGGGTGACCAGGATCGAGAAAACCCGAAACTTAAACCTAGCCTGCCAAGCGGTTAAACTAACAAGAATAATTTGGTGACACTCAAAATCAGGAGCACATGACAGGGAAGGGGGCTGCCAATACCTGAGCACCAGACGTCAAACTTTGACTCGAACGCATCTTACTGGTGGTTAGTAGGGAATCAGGGAATATACCACCGGTAGGAATCTCTATAGAACATATTCCCTTATGCCCTACCCAACCCCCGGTAAAAAGTTGGAGGAATTTCAACGAGACGGCCCGTTACGTGGACCAGGGTGGAGGCAAGCGAGTCTAGGTTGATCTTAGATGTTTCCAAGGGCTTACGTTTAATTATTTAGGCCTCTTTAGAGGGGACACAGGGATTTTTCAGTGGCATGTATGGTTAAGCGTTTCCAGGAAATAGGGATCTCCCCTTAAGAATAAGGATCACCTGCGTACCAAAAGTACGCGTTGGCTACCATTATGTGTGTTGGGGGCACCATTTTATGCTTATTTTTCACATTAGGGCTCCCTATTCGTGGTCACCCCCCAATTAGAGTTTAAGATTTTTACGAAAGATTCCATTCAAAATCCTTAAGACGAGTCCCTACAGTCTCCCTACAATGTCCTCCTGGTTTACAGTTTCGGGTTTAGGTGGCGGCTTATAGGATATTTTAGAATTGCATTTGGTGTCTGAGGGTCCTTTTAGAGGGGAGCACAAATATGGATCCTGCCTTATGTTGCTTCTAGTTGTTTTGTCAGGCTCTATGTCAACAACCACGCTTGCCTACCCCAGACATTGAATGCTTCCACGTATACTCACATGTCGTGGCACCACGAAGCCTATGCCTGGAACCCTGTATCCTAAGCCTTACCGCCTGGCCAAGGAAAGGGCTCTTTTGCCATGTGCCTGTTCCTGTCAGGGTTGAAGATTTACGTTTTAGGCTTGTGGGGTTGCTTTGGGGCGGTTAGTAGGGAATACATTATACAGGGCTTAGATTCCCTTATTCCCTACTCACCACCAATAGGTTAGCACTGGGGTTTAGGGTCTAGGCTTCAGGATTCGAAGTTTAGTTCAGGGTTAGGCTCAGAAGGTCTCTCGTGTTTGGAACCATTGCTGTTGGGCTTCTGCAGATGAACAGGAGAGCTGCGCAGCCCAAAGTATTGTGAAGTGTCACGACTTCCAGTTTTTTCAGGTGTGAAGTCACATAGAGGCACGGTAGTTTCCCAGGCTAATCTTCAAAAGCTTCTCTACATCCTAGAGGGCATGGGAAGTGATTTCCAGGGCTGGAGGATTGCAGAATTTGCTCCTTCAAGGCAAGGTTCATGTCAGTGCTGGGGCTTAGCACCTATGCTGCAGGCTCGAGGTTGTTGGAGAAATTGAGATGATGATCGGAATGAAGTGTACCTTTTGACTCACTGGCAAGTACAGGGCGCACCACCCACCTTCTGACTGAGGCCTTGTTCGAAACCCATTTTAAAGTTGAGGTCTAAGGATACATGCTGCTTGTAGAGTTGACAAACCTAAATTCCCACAGTTCAAGGCACCACCTACAAGGCTGGCTGGCACATATCGCGTAGCAGAAGGCAAAGGTAAAGCCCCCGCTTGTTCCATTTCACAAGACAAGATGCTGTAGAAAAAATGGTGTCCCAAGAGTGTCAAAAAAATTAAGGATAACCCGCACAAATGCAAGCCAACGCCATACATGACGGCCATAAGCCCTGTCTACTGCCTCTACAGCTTCTAAACATTTTCCATGAAACGTTCATTTCCCAGTTTCTCCTTCATGTACTTCTCCAAAACACCTTAGATCCCGTTTCAGAAGCCTCCTTGCAAGAAGCCCAGGTACCTGGAGCCTTGGCATGCGGATGTTGAAGACTTCCTGGAGCTGCGGAAGTGGCCCAACTGCTTTTTCTGATTTGGGGGGTTTCCCAAAATTAGGGGTACCTTTTTGGGGGCCTCTATTATTAGGACTATAGTATATTGGGGTCTATATTGGGGTACCCTAATTTTGGGAAAGTACCATTTGAGTGCTGAGGGTGTTTGGGGAGTTACATCTTAGGGGCTGTCGGTTTTTAGGATTGACAATGTCGCTCCACGAAGAAGGTGGCGGAAGCTATCCTGTTCAAAGCTACAAACAGTGCAAAAGCTTTACGAAACACCTTCATATCTACATAATACTTCGCAAATTCTTCTCAAAAATGTTAGACTCCATTTCAGAGCACGTGATCATGTTTCTACATCGGTTCTTTTCTTCGAGAACTTTGGGTATCAGAGGTTTAGACTAGAGCAGGTGCGTCTAGGAGCCCAAGAATTTTGCGCAGGGATGAAGGACGAAATAATGCATTGGAGCGCTATACACGGGCCATGTGGGATCCCTGAAAGCAGTACGTATGCTGGTGCTTTGTGGTTGTACCTTGTTGGGTCTGAAGTTTTCTGTTGCTCCTACTCCTGGCCGCCTTTGCTGTTGGTTTTCCTACAAGCGCAACCACAACCGCAACCGCCGCCGCCGCCGCTGCTGCTGCTGCCACTCCGGTGCGCTTGACCTTCATGCACATAAAGGCACCCACACATAAGCCCAGGGGTATGCGGGTATTTCTGAAGATACGGCTGCTCGAGGACCTTGGTGGCGTATTGGGCTTACATACCGAATGCAGAACCCCGAACACCAAGCCAGACGATCTGGCTTCCTACACCATCGCACCCTTTGAGATGGTGATAGTCAGTAGCTCCCGGAGATTTTCGAGCGACCGTTCGAGGGCCGTGTGACGCGTACGACTTGAAAGAGTTGGGACCAAGAGCCTACGAATGGGGTCAATATTTCGGCCGGCCGTACCCTCCTTTGTAAACCTCAGTCCTCAAAGAGCTTCACGCACTTAGCATACCTCAACCGCATGCAGAAAACCGCCCAAGCCCTGTAAGTGTTAAACTCTACATCCAACCCGAAGCCTTGAGGAACCACGGGAAGGAGGAGCAGCGTGCTAGGGACCTCTTCTACGGGCTATGGATCCCTGATCTCTTCATGCAGCGTGTGAAGGAGACAAAAGTGAGAGATTAGGGGAGCTTTGAGTCTTAACTACTATAGTATACTGGGGTTATATAGGGGATAATGGAAAAGAAAATGGAAAACTGCTATACCAGATCTGGATTCTTGGGAGTTAAGGGTCTAGGGTTTATGATGTGGGGTTTGGGAGTTTAGGCCTAGGGTTCTTTGGGGGTGGAGTGGCTGGTGGCATTCTTGTGGCAAGGACTTCAGGTGTGAGCGCGAAAACAGGAGCCAGATAACTGCTGAAGGATTCTGGAGAGGCTCAGAAATTTCTCTGATGGAGTGATGGGGATGAAGGCGTCAAGTCTCTGGATTTGATGGTTCTGGGAGAGAGTTGAGACTTATCTTCGAGGATTTAGGGCTTCGGGCCAAGGTTGGAAGGGATTGAAATGATGGCAGGAGTAAACGTAATTTTCTCCAGCAGGTATCCTATGACTTCTTTAAGAAGTGCAACCATGTAAAGCCCCAGCTTGGTTGTGACCGTAGATAAACAAGACAAGGAAGCTGCACCCAACCATGGATCAGCTCTGTTGACCTGTCAGGTTCAAAGTCGCTCACTGGGCGATGGTGGGCGTAAAGACCCTGAAAATCGAATTTCAAGTCACTAGAACCCTGTCACATGAACCCGTACCCGCATCCCCAAATAAGCATGCAAGTGATGTTGACCAGCACCTCTGTTTATTTTGGGAAGGGTTTACTGTGGCAGGAACAAGGTCCAAGAAAACCAACTAAGTGGCCATAGGGTTATGTAAGGATGATATTGCCAGTGATAGACCCTCCAGCGCCATAATGAGCAACGTCATGCTATGCCTCAAGTACACCTCTGGTTTGCTTTTCGTTGGTTGAGGCTGCCATGTACCAGGGGCACCCACTTGAGCCATAGGAGCAGAGAGTTCAATATCAACATTCTTACAGGTGGTTCTCAGTACTTAGTAGGGTATATGGGAGTATACATTGGGATTATACAGGGGTTGTGTTCCCTTGTTACCTAGTAACAACCCGTAAGTGGATGGAGCAGTTCATGCGCATGCTGAGAAGCCTGTATCACGCGTATTGCAGTAGCTCAGGGCGAAAGATGTCCTCCATCAACACTTTGAGTTTGTGAGTTAAGTTGCTACAGCAGCTGACATATAGTCCGCCTTAAGTAGATAGAATATGGTTTTGGGTATATGATAGTAAGATCCCCATATACCCCATATTCTATCTACTAAAGGGGGACTATACATCCAGACATGATATCTACTTTGTAATATAACGGACGGGCCTGCCGGCAGCTTCAATGCTCAATACGGGTACAATCCGTGCAGCGAATCATTCAACAGATGACGACATAACTTAGGAGGACTCCCGACCCTGTAACAGTGGTATAATAGGAATATAATAGGATCCGAATATATTCCTTATTACCCCTTATAGTCACTATTACTGGGTGGGGTGTCCGCCTAAGACATAACACAAAGACTATTTAGATGCCAGTCTGGCTATGAACCATCATTGGTTCTATCCCACAATGACAATGCCTGAAGTTTCTGGAAGATGGAAGCGCCCTAAAGTATTCTAGTAGAAGACTGCATTAAGACTTGTATAACAAATTCTCAAAACTAGGCCCACAAGAGCCCAAGACCAAATACAAGAGGCGCCGGTGTTTGATGCTCTAGAAGGCTGGATCTCCAGATCCTGAATTCAGCCCCTGTAACCAAAAGCTGGTTCATTGCATTCTGACAAAGCTGGTCTACCCATTCCTGTGAGAAGGACAACGCAGATTGGACGCTCTTCTGTCCAAATGAAGCCTTCGACCAGGAGTCGGGCAAGGGCCTTATGGATGTCACTTGGCCAGGGCTTGGAGTTGCGGACTCGTTGGGGTTTAGGGGTTTTAGGGTTTAGGGTTTTAGGGGTTTAGGGCTTAGGAGTTTAGGGTTTAGTGGTTTAGGGTTTGGGGTAGGTTGGAGTTCGGGTTTTCATTGATTCATGGTTTGCTGAGAGGCTTATATGCTGCAGACACCTTCAGCTTGAAGCTTTTTGGATTTCACGGCTTGACCTTGTGCTAGCACTGTGGCTTTCAGGCCTTGCTTGTAATCCCTGCACTTGGAAGGGTCGACCACATGTTTCAGCCCCTGAACACCCGTTACAAGCCTAAAAGGGGTCCCTTGACTGCAAGCCCTGAACTCCAAACTCTTAAACCCCTAACGCCTCAAGCTCCAAATACCTACACCTCTGAACCCCTTAGCACCCTAAACCCGAAACCCTTAAATCCTCAAACACCGCAAACCAACAAACCTTTCGCTCATCTTCGACCCAGGTCTGGGGTGAAGAGTTCGAGACTATGTGCCTGGGCTTACTACCCACGATAATGGAGAATCAAAGGGAAAAGGGAATGGAAAATGAAATGGAAACCCTAGGTCCCTTTAAAGGGATTTGTACAGGGGTTATATGGGGATGTCACTCACAATAGTGGAGAATCAAATGGAAAAGAGAACAGACAATGATATGGAAGACCTTGTTTCTATCAGGTTTCGAGATATGATCCCAAGAATAATGAAGCAAAGATGAAAAGGAAACTATGAGGACAAGGTGTGAATATTGTCTGCATGAGCTTTGAAGGTTGAGGGTTTTTTGGATGGCGTTGAGAGTTTTGGGGCCTTTGACTTTGGGTGTTGAGTTTTGGTGGTATAGGGTTGAGGATGTGCAGGAGACGACTTGTCCACGCAAGTTCCAAGTGTCCCTTGCAGTAGTAGCTTTTCAAGAGGAAGTATGTGAGTTTACGCAATTGCGGCTCCCAAATGTGTAGCCGACATGTAGAAAAACCTCCTTCATACTTATATGGGGTTGCCCAAAAATTGGGGTACCTTTTCGGGAGGGTTGCCCAAAATTAGGGGTACCTTTTTTGGGTGGTCCCTGTAATAGTCATATAGAATCAACCGTTTCATGCACAGGAGCGAGGAAGCGGATTGAATATTGCAGGGTGTATGGCTTGAAGTTATAGGCAATGAGGTCGCAGGATATTGAGATGAACTTGCGAGCACGGAGTGGACCAGCAGAGGAACTGTATATCATAAAGACCCATTCGTGACATTTCCGACTGCACCAGAGAGTTCTTCTGAAAATTGACTTCGTAAGCGCATGGAAGGTTTTAAGGGCAGGCCATAAGAGCTTCAAAACGGATAGTGACTGCAATCATCTTGCCTTGTCGATTACAGCCCCTCCAATGCGCATGTAGCCCTCTTGAGTGGGATCCTCCGTTTAGGGTTTAGGGTTCAGGGTTTCCGCGCTCGGCAGCGCGAGCTACGTTAGAATGGGAGTGTCTCAAAAGAGCGATAACTTCCCCAGTTCAGATGGACCTTGCCATTCTTGTTCCATGCTCGGTTCATGACATTCGCCCTTTCCTTCTTAAAAACTCTTATCAGCCTGGACATTGAACGCTGAAACCCTTGCCTACACCTTCCTTCGAGGTACATGCGCTTTGAAGCCGAGGGCAAAGGCCGCAAGACTGTTAAGGCTCAGCATTTGTGCCTGGGCCATGAAAGGCACGTTAGGGATTTGAAAGTTGAGGTGTTTGAGTGTAGGGCTCAGTGATGAGGGGTTACTCATGCGTGGGCTTAACAAGCACTTGTGAGTTGGCTTAAGAGCAAGCGATTCCTAATTCAAGGCGTTGCACCAATTTAGCTGCCCAACAAACCGTAAGCACTGAAGGTATGGGCCATGTACGGTGGTGCAACTTCAAGCACGCAAAGGGAGCGCCAAAATGGGGGGCCCCCACTGACGAGGTACTCTTAGCATAATGGCCTCCCCGGCCCCCGCATGCCCCAGAGCCCCAAACCTCCGATAGCCCAGATCAAGTAAATAGAATGTGATAGAATGCGGGTGTATGGAAGGGAAAATGGCTACTTCTATCTACTTGAGGATGACTCTGGGCCTTTGGAACCCTTGTCAGCTCGACCCTTCTTCCTATGCCCTTGTCCCCTACAGGGCACCAACCCGAACCCTGGCTTAGGTGGTTCCGAATCCTGGAATCCCAGATGGAGACAGGACACGCAAAGAATCTCTTCCAGTGGTTGTAAGTGGTCGCGGTCATGGGTGTAAGTCTGGTAAGTATCAATATGCTAACAGTTACCTAGTTTATGATATTAGCAGTTCGAGCTACCTAACAGCATGTGCAAGCAACTCCTTTCCACCCAAGTAATTGTGTATCTACGTGGGCTTGTGGGTGTATCTGCATATGCACCTAGATACATGTACCTGCATTTGCTGATACAGGGCCAAAAGCAAAAAGAAACAAGGTTTCTCAGGCTCAGGGTGCCGAGGTTGGAGTTTGAGGGGGTGTGGCTCGACAACAGGTGGCCATTCCTGCCGAACCTAGAACCACAAAGTCCATCCTTCACAGACGGGGAGTCATTGGATTGGATGCTGGTGCGAGACCTTGTGGTATGCCTGTTTCGCCATATTCGCCGCTGTGTAAGTATTGATGGCAGGGAGGGCTCCGGCTCGTACCGAGTTTCGTTGGCTCATTTAGGATTTTCGTCGACATTCCGGGCCTTGTGCGCATGCACTGTAAACAAGTTGATAGCTCTCTTCTCTTTGCAAGATGGTGCAGTTGCAAGTCACATGTAGATAGCTCTCTTCTCGTTGAAAGATGTACCGCCAATCATGAGCCACATGAAGACTCGCTGTGATGAATAGCTTCTTTTTTCCATATGTTCACCACCGCCTTTTCTCCCGTTTTGATTTCATCAATCAGATTCATAGGTCCACTCCCCAGCCCTCTGCGTAGGATTCTGGACTGTGAGTTCAGGGCTTGGGGGTTCAGACACAGTTCATATTCCCCTGGTCCAGGAACGCCTTACATGCTGTACAAGGACCAGGCCAACCGCAAGTCGAATCTTGCCATTGGACCAGTGGAAGTGAAGCAGTCAGCTCATTGAATCCTTAACAAAATGCATGTGGGGTTGTTCCAGGACGGAAGGTACAGGGTCCGCGGCTTGGGGCCCCTAATGTTGCTCCATCAGGTCATTCTCAATTAACCCCACTTGGAGTCTAGGAGGCCCAAGGCTGTGGGTAGAGTGTGTGAATAGGTAGCTGGCGCTCACTGGGCTCCCCGTGGCATGATTGCAATGTGACCTTCGCAACAGTGGACTTTGTCCCTCACACCTGACCATTTCCCCTCATGACTAGGTTCTGGAACCGGAAGTGCGTGGAGTGAGCTGTGGGTTCAGGGGTTGCTTCCAAAACTCGTCCGCTCCCTTCATAGCATGTACCTTCAAGGTTCGACGACCATTTAACACTTATAACATACAACCTCCAGCCTTTTACCCTCCTACGTGTCCCGGAACCTGGACAGCTTCCCTTAGATGTGCCAGGCGTGGCACCTAGTTGGCATCTTGTGACATGTACACAAAGTATGAATAAGCACTGTCAAAGCATCTATACCCAAGCCAATAAGGACGGCATATCCTTGAAGCTCCGGTTTTCCCCTTTTCCCTAGCCTCGCGGATAGGTTCAGTGTCGTACCAGTGTAAAGGGTTTAAGGTCTAGGATTTAGGTTTGAGGGTTTAGGGTAAAGTAGACGAACATCCACTATGATGGGGGTCGGGAAGTCGTACTAGAATGGGGAGCGGGGTCATCAAGAACCCTTTACAAAGATGTCAGGGAAGCCTAGGGCTCTGGGATCTGCGCCACACCCATAATGAAAATGCTAAGGATAATAACAAGAATAGTCATAATACCAATACTAGTCATAGTAGTAAGAATAAGAATACAGTAGTGGAAATACAAGTTGTAACAATGGTACAGTAGCAAAAATAGAAGTAACGAACAAGAATAATAAGAAGAAAATGAAGAATGATGATGAAAGCAATAGTAACAAAGAAAGGCTTATGTGCAACAGTGGTTCACAATATGTAAAATGACTTTACTGTCTGCAGATATATGCATATGCAGATATCTACATATGTACAGTCTAGACTCTCAACAGTCCGAGAAACCCTGAATTATACACTATTCCCGAAACCTTGTACACCCTCATTCCCGACCCACTGTGTCCATATTGGCAGATGTGAGTTCCTGGAACCTGGTAAAATTACCGACAGAAATTCACATGTATCCTTTGGGTGGACGGGAACCCCCACCCAGTAATAGTCGCTATAACGGATAATAAGGTTTATATTTGGGCCCTCCAGTACTACAGGGTGGGGTGTCCTTCTAATGTATCCCCCTTTGCGAACCAACATAAAGATCAGGAACCAGCAGAACCTGGGCACTATCCACTGCTCGAACCTCTGCACGGAGATCATTGAGCAACTCCCCATGCAGGGGAGGGACATCTTTTGTGGTCTTTCCGCAGATTTCTAATGGTGACCTTACCTGACCTCTGCAATATTTCAGGCTAGTGAGTGCTTGTATCTTCAACATGCAGATGAAGCAGCCAAGACTGGATATCTCCGTTGCCACCGGAGCACAGGTCTTGATTTGGATGCTGCCTTTGCCCTTCATCCTACATGGGCCCTTCATCATATAAAAAGATGAAGGTACCCCCTACCGCATATCGCATGTCCGATGCAATCTCATATATGAGACTTCTTTGGAATCTATCCCTGTGGCATCTCTGATGCAAATCCCTCTGTGCGCTCATACATCCCCAGGGCCAACGCTTCTGAGATTCCAGCTATATACTCTACCTACAACCTACATTTCAATATAACCCGTCATATACCACTAAATATAGATATATATATATATGTCTACAGTGACAGTCCAGACAATGGCCTGTCAGATCGGAGGCTGACAGGAATCTGCTGTCCATGCAACGTAGGGCTGAGTTCTGCGAGGGTCTGCTGGCACAGGTACACAGAAAGTGCATACGTCATGCCATTTTCCTTCCCATCAAATTCTCCTGTGTTCCTGCTATTTCTGAAAGTCAAGTCCTGAACTTGAAGCCTCCAAGAGTGCAACCCTGGCCCAGGTATACTGCTGCTGATGAGGCCATCATAAGCTCCATCCAGATATACCCTTGCATTCCTTGTTTTCGAAATGCGTTCTAAGCTTTTTCCCCTCCAGCTGAGTGGATCGGATCTTGCTGATCGGGGTGTCCCAAAAATCAGTCTTGTCTAGAAATGTTTCAAGACAACAGCCCAGACCGGCCTCTGCGGAACTTCAGCTGCCTCACTTGCAAGCGTCCCATTTCAATTCCTGCCGTCTTAAACGCTCCCTGAGACAGGCATCGAGAATCCCCCTGTTGGATATGTTAACCCTGCATAACCCTATATTATATAACCCCGTATGATCCCTACATAACCCTAGATAACCAAATATAACCCCTACACAACTCTACAGTGTTTGCAGCCCCGGGTAGATTCGGCAGATTGTTCAGAGGCATCCAGAGTTGAAGGTGCACGTTGAAGATCTAGGGGTTGAGGGGTTCAGAGGTTTGGGAGGGGTTCAGGCTTTAGGGATTTGGGGGTTTTTGCAGGAAGCAGGTTGATAAAAAAAACCTGGGTGTTTCAGGGCTTTTTCAGGATTTTGAGAGTTTGGAAGTCACCTGCAGAGTGCTCCAGCCAGCCATTTTGGATAGCTGTCAACAAGT